AAAAAAGGGGGGAAAAATCACATGTATATCACTAAGTCAGACAAAATTAAGTATTCTGCTTGGTCTCTATAAAAAGTTGGTTACTTTTAGTACACAAATACTTTGAAGAAGTGGAAATTTGCTAGAGAGGGATGGTCTAGTACCACCAGATGATATTAAAATCTGATAGTCTTAGAAATTAGCCTATTATTTGGGCTAGTATGTCTCCAGAAAGTTTCCAATTTACCATAACCTTAATCAAACCTAATTAATTTAGGAATAAATTCTGAATTCATCAGTCTGTAACCCTCAGATAAGGGAACATGGGAGGGGGGAGGAAACTTGAGTAAGATTCTCTTGAAAATACATTTTTGGGCTTCCTGCCCAACTTAACTACATAAAGACATTCAAGGTTGAGATTTCTCTCCTTCCAGCTTTGTATTTTGCTTGAAGTAACATGTAAAAAGAGGGATAGTCTTTCAGGACACTGATGCAGAGAACTGGATAAAGTGAGTGCTAGCAGTAATACAGGTATTGCAGAGTTTTGAAAGGGAGACTGTGAACAGGCTATGTCTGCCTCCTGCCCTGCAGCACACTCCAAGGAAAGGCAGTGCAGAAGAAGAAGGTTAGTCACGGCAGAAATTGAGAAATCCAACCATTTTCTTTTAGTTTGTTTCTGTCTGTATTAGGGTCTACACTCAGGCTTGTTTGACTGGCACTCCACCGCTAGAACTACACCAATCTACCTTTCTTCTGGTTAAGTAGAGATGGGGGTCACTCAAGATATGGGGTCTCTAAGACTGTTCTGCCAGATTCTAGGATTACAGGTGTAAGTCACTAGTGCCTAGTTTTTCTTCAATTTTTAAACTCTTTTTCTCATCACTCTTACAATCATATTCCCTAAAGTAACATGGTATTTTATTGCTTTGCAAAATATGTGGCTCTGAAACGACTTAATTAAATATGCTTCAGAAACATTTATGCTGGTACTAGGGATTGAACTCAGGGCCTTATCTTCTCACTTGGCTTTTTTTTACTCGAGGCTGGCACATTGGCGCTTGAGCCACATCTCCACTTCTGGCTTCTTCTTGATTAATTAAAAATAAGAGTCTCACTGACTTTTCTGCCTGGGTTGACTTGTAACTGCAATCATAAGATCTCAGCTTCCTGAGTAGCTAGGATTATAGGCCTGAAATACCAGCACTTAGCTAGAAAAAAAAAAATCTTACATACTACTGAAGTATATTCTACTCTACTCAGTGACATTGTTGTCCTTATCACAAAGCCTAACTACTAACCAGAGTGATTGATTTTCCTGCAGGAAAAGATAGCATGATCTTAGTAATGTTTTTCAAAAACTTGATAACAAAATCAGAAGAGTGGGTAGGTAAGAACATTCTTCCTATTTAGAGAGAGAACAGGCATCAGTACAATGCCCTTTAGAAGCACCTACCTAATCACCCACTAATTATCTCCAACTCATCTCCCTGTGTTTTAGTGTGTTTGTGTACATGTACACACATGTATGTGCATGTATAATTTTTTTCTTACATATGGCTGAGAAATCTAAATCTTTTTAACTTTTTTTAAATTTTTAGACAGGGTCCCTCTCCATAGTCTAAACAGGTCTCAAAATGGCTCTGTAGTCCATGCTGATCTCAAACTAACAATCCTCTTGCTTTGGCTTTCAAAGTGCTGGTTTAAAATTGGTTTTCTTTTGACCTAACTGGATTAATGTTCTTAGGCTTTGACAGAATACCAAACTATTCTCACTGATTTGAAAAAAAATGCAAAGAAGTATTCTAATTCCTCAATGGACTACCAGGAATTCCCTCTGTCCCTGAAGAAAAAATTACCTTGTCTATTTCTGATTATTATATCTCTTGTAATTAGACATCAGTTTTTAGAAAAGAAGATTTTTCTACCATTTTCCTCAGTTCTGTAGTCCTAAAGAATAAGAAGATCTGTAAGCCAAGTGGGTGAATTATTTATTCATCTATTTATACATTATTTCCCATTTCCCACTTCATGATTTATTCAACTGGTTTTCAAATTGAGATTCACATCATTCATTTTCATCTTCTAACAAATGCCAACTAAGTGTCTGCTGTGTTCTAAATTAAGAGATGGAGGAAGAGGAAGAAAATGATAGACAACAAGGACAAGGTTCAGGGCACATAGTAAAATTAAGTAACTTGCTGGATACAGGTGACTCAGGCCTGTAATTCTAGCTACTTCAGGGGATGAAATTAAAGATCAAGGTTCAAAGCCAGCCTTGGACAGAAAAGTGAGTGAAACTCTTATCTCCAATTAACTACTCAGAAGAGTAGGTATGGTTCAAGTGGTAGAGCACTAGCCTTGAAAAAAGAAGTCAAGTGAAAGCATGAGGCCATGAGGTCAAACCTCAGTACCAGCACACAAAGAAAGATTGAAAAAAAAGAAACTGAACATCTCTTTCCTTGTATACAAGTTCTTTAGCCTTTGAAGAAATATGACAGTTAGTAAGAGGTCTGCAAAGTCCTAGTCTCATGAAAAAACAAACCAAAAATCAAATCAAAGTAGAATATATCCACCATACATACAAGTACTGTTAGGATTTAAAAGGAAAACCATAGCCATAGGGCCTGATATTAAAAAAAAAAAAAGTTAAGAGCATGTGCATTTGTGCTCTTAAGAGTGGAGCATATCTGTAATCCCAGTTATTTAGGTGACAGGGACAGGATTATTGTTTGAGGGCAGCTGGGATCAAGTTACCATACTCTGAAACCCTATCTGAAAAGCAACATAAAAACAAAGCAAAAGGGCTGGTATACAGCTGGAGTGTAGAGTATTTGCCTAGCAAAGTACACGGCCCTTGGTTTAATTCCCAGGAATGGGAAAAAAAAAAAAAAGAAGCTAACAATTGGTCAAGCATAGGCTTCTCTCTCCTGAATGAATGAATGGTCATCAACAGCAATGTTCACAAGCTGATTCCCACCAGCTGAGTAGTGGATCCACCTAAGGAGAGACCTTATTTTCCTTTCCATCTCTTTCCTTTATTTTTTTTTCATAATAAAGACAGATCTTAAACTAGTATAGGCAGTGAATCCTAGTTACTCAGGAAGCTGAAATCTGAGGATCACGGTTCAAAGCCAGCTTAGGCATCAAAGTCTGTGAAGCTCTTATCTCCAATTAATTACCAGTAAATTAGAAGTAGAAGTATATATCAAGTGGTAGTATGCCAGGCTTGAGTGAAAAACTAAATGAAAGCATCAGGCTGAGTTCAAGCCCCAGTACTGGTACAAAAAAAGGAAGAAAGGAAGGAAGGAAAGGAGGGAGGGAGGGAGAGAGGGAAGGAGAGAGGGAGGAAAGGAGAGAGGGATGGAGGGAGGGAGGGATGGAGGAAGGGAGGGAGGTAGAGAGGAAGAGAAAGAAAATGAGAGACAAGAAGATAGATCAAGAAAGGGGTCTTTAACAAATTACTGAAAGCCATTATTCTAAGAAATATGATTGTCTCAATTGGAGTACTATGCCCTGATTCTCAACAAAGCACAAATCATAGGAAAAGTCACAACCAATCCAGAGTTCAGGCCTCCATTGCTGCTTTGTCTTTTTTTTTTTTTTTTTTGGTTGGGAGTAGGGCTTGAATTCTGGGCCTGGGCACTATCCCTGAGTCTTCAGCTCCAGGCTAGCACTCTACCACTTGAGCCACAGTGCCACTTCCAGTTTTCTGGTAGTTAATTGGAGATAAGAGTCTCACAGACTCTCCTGCCCAGGCTGGCTTTGAACCTTGATCCTCGGGTCTCAGCCTCCTGAGTAGCTAGGATAACAGACATAAGCCACTGGCACCTGGCTTGTCTTTTATCATTTAGATTTACTTCCCATCTTCCCCTCAGTCTCTGTAAGTGGTCAACTCTGGCCAGATGTTCCCAAGACCGTAAACACTACCTCAGGACAAAGTCTGCCTGTATTTATACTCTATGTGTCTTGAGAAACAGCTAGTTTAAGACTGTAGAATCAGTTACTTGGACCACTTAGTACAACTCTTTCAGAAGAATATATGGGAGGGATTGGAATCTCTGCTAAAATATTTAACTCTAGCATGTCAAAATGAAAAGCAGTGTGCCTGGACAAAAAATGAAAAAATAGCACTTTCCTAGCAAGAGAAGAAAAATAATAAGCTGGTCAGGCTGATCTATCTTTTACTTATCAGCATAATAAGTCCAGGGTTCCATACTTTAGTCTTAGTTTATGATGTTAACTTACCTAGCACTTATTAAACCAAGCTCTCAGAGTGAGAATCAAGAAGCAATGATAAAGAACAGGTAAACCTAAAGAAAATAAAATTAATTATCTTACCTACTCTACAGATGCCATACAAAGCCATATGCTGAAAGTAACATTTAGAAATAAAGGTATAGTAATAAATAAAATGAGAATCTGTCACACTTATCAAAACGTATTTATATTATTGTTTTTGGTAGTACTAGGATACTAAAAATTGAACTCAGATTGAACTGCCTCCCATCTGCTGGGCAGATACTCTCAAACTTAAGAAATTCCTCCAGGCCTCTCAAAATGTAATTTTTTTTTTTTTTTTTTTTTTTTGGTGTGTATATTGCCTATAGTTCAAGCTGAGGCTTGAACTCAAGGCCTTGCACTCTTACTTGGTTTTTTCAATCAAAGCTGGTGTTCTAATACATGAGCCACACCTCCACATATGGCTTTTTGCTGGGACCCTGGAGATACCATCCCTACCTGAGCAAGCTGCTAAGGCCTCTTAAGTAGTTAGAATTATAGATATGAATTCCATATGTAAACCTTGATGTACTAGATTATACATACTCATATATTTACATAAATACTTTTCTAAACATACAAAATTTTTTAAAATTTTTTTAAAATAGTAAAATTACATTATCTAAATTCTCTGGAAAAAAGTAGTCTCCATTGGGGTTTTCCTCTTAATCTAAAGTTAAAATGCTAGAGTCTCCTAGTCAGAAGAGGTTGCAGATACCAAATCAATGGAAGCATAAACTAACCTTAAAGAAGGCAAACCACTTGTAGTCGTTCAAGATGACCTCAAAACCTTGGTTGTAAATGATAGTAAAATACCCGGAATTGCCTAGTTCATCATAAGCGGTATCCAACTTCTTAAGATGTACCACTACTTTTTTTTCCACTGGTCCTACAGAAAAGAAAAGTAAGAGAACAGGAATGTCATTTGAATTTCAAGGGGAAAGGAAGAAATCTCTTCAGTAATGTCTACTATTTGGTAAGGCTGTTTATCTTTCATGCTAACTTGGGTCTCAAGTTCTATGAGGTACTCAGATTACATCTTGCTGCCTCTGCAGTTCTGGAAAGTTCTCAGACAAAACTGTCAAGTGATGGTTTTGCAAAAGAGAAATGTCAAGTAGCACAGCAGGCAGGTATCTCTGAAATCAAGCCTATAAACATTTTTCTTTTTTCTTTAGAATAAGGAACAGAGGATATTCAAAGTTAAATGAATGGGAAGAAAAATAAAAATCCAGAAGATAATAAGATTTGTGTGTGTGTGTGTCTGTGTGTGTGTCTGTGCATATACACATGTGCTGGGGCTTGAAATCAGGAGCTTATGCTCTTTCAAGAGCACTTGGCAACAAAGCCCAAACTGGGATTTTTTTAAGGACTAGTGATAGTCAGGTGCCTGTGGCTCACACCTATAATCTTAGCTATGCAGAAGGCTGACATCTGAGAATCAGTTTCAAGCCAGTCCAGGAAGGAAAGTCCATGAGCCCCTGACCTCCAAGTAACCAAAAAGCTGGCAGCGGAACTGTGGCTCAAGTGGTAGAGCAGTAGCATTGAGCAAAAAAGCTCAAGAGACAGCACCCAGACCCTGTGTTCAAGCCCCAGGACTGCTATTATATCAGAAAAAAGACACTCTTTTAAGCCTAGGAGAAAAGGAATGATCTAGTCAGAGAAGAAATGGCTCTCCACATGACTCAGTATCTGAATCCTAAAATACAGTGGTACAAAAATAATTTAAATAATGTCCTCAGCAACCTTAAGGTCACTGTACTGATAGGTATCTATGTGTAACTCTTAAGAGACTGAGGGCTCACATCCATGTGTGTCTTTAATTACTGGATTTATATCAAAAAGAGGTTTATAGGCACAGGCTGTCAGAAGTGTCCAGCTGGGCTCATCTGGAGATCTGCACACTCTACCAGTCCTTCCTCATAGATTAATATCTGAATGGCAAAGTGCAGGTGACAGGCAGTGTCCATGCAGGCCTCTCTTCTGTCCAGACCTGCAGGCTCAATAGATTGACAACGCAAACATTGGTATACAATGCCTAGGATTGTGGAAAACCATAGAAAGATCTGGAATCTATCAAGCAGGTCAAAACAGATTACTTGACAACCTTTGATCTGCTGATGAGGAAATTACAGCTGAGGGCTTTAGTCTTTCCATGCAAGTCATAGGCTGTGAGACTGGGAGTAGATCAGGACTTTTAAACTGTGTGGTGTTTTGGCTCCCCATCTGAACTGGCTTATTTGTTGTAGGGATTAGTCGAGGTATCTGAGAGCACATGGAACATTCCAGTCTATTTCCAAATATACCGAAGTAACAAGGTTTTTTTTTTTTTTTGGTCATGGGGCTTGAACTCTGGGCCTGGGCGCTGTCCCTCAGCTCTTCAGCTCAAGGAAAACGCTCTACCACTTGAGCCACAGTGCCACTTCAGGTTTTCTAGTGGTTTATTGGAGAGTCTCACGAACTTTCCTGCCCGGGCTGGCTTTGAACCGTGATCCTCAGATCTCAGTCTCCTGAGTAGCTAGGATTACAGGCGTGAGCCACTGGTGCCCGGCTAAGGAAGTCTTCCATAAAGAGGTGGAAGACAGTACCCCCAAAATTTAAAACTAGCAGCATTCTTCTAGGTTCAAACGAAATCACTCGGCATAAAAGACCTTTTCTCACAACCTCACAGAAGAAAAAGGAAACGTGCCACATCCAGGAGTGTGCCCTTCACCGACAGAAAGTAAACTTGGCATCCTGGAAGAGAGAATCAACAGACTGCAGTTCCCGACTCTCATCCAACTCTGCGCGGGCAAGCCACCCCTCGAGAGCCGCGGGAGGGCTCTGGAGCGCTCAAGTCGCAGCCCCTCCGTCAGGCGGCCGGGGAAGCGTGGTCAGAAGTGACCAGCCGCTCCGAGCGCGCGCGCGGGAGCGCGGGAGGGGACAGGGTGCCAGGGGACCCGAGGGACGCCCCGAGCAGCCCGGGCCCCGGGGAGGCGCGCGGCGCGGCGGCTCACCGATCGCCGAGCAGTTCACATCGCGCAGGGCTCCGCTGCGGCCCGCCTGGAAGACCCAGGTGCCTAGCAGGTCCGGGTAGGTGCAGTTGGCGGGGGTGTCGCCGCGCACTGCGCGGGCTCCGCAGAGAAGCAGGAGGATGGCCAGCGAGGCGGGGGACCAGAGGTGCATGGCCGGAGGACCGGGAAGGCGAGACCACAGGACGCGCGCGAGACGCGGCTCCACTGGCTCAGGGTCAGGGGTGCAGGACTAGTCAGGAGCCCGGAAGCCCCGGGCGGGGCGGGGCCGGGGCGGGGCTCTGAGGGGGCGGGGCTCTGAGGGGGCGAGGGCGGGCTCCGCGGGAGCGGGGCCTCCGCGGGGAGGGCAGAGGCATGCTGAGAAGGAACTGAAGGGGACAGACCCCCTAACCCCTACTTGTTCCCTCACCCTCCTCCCCTCCTCCTCAGGGGGCACTTGGGCCTCTTCACTTGGCTGCTACTGGGTCCTAAACCTGAAAACCTGGGAACAGCTTCTGTTAAGAGAAATTTTCCACCAAGGTGACTGACTTACAATAAATAAGGTGGGGAGATCAGAGGTGGAGAACATTCCTGATGAAGAAATGGTGGGACCATGGGGTTCTCTTTTCTCTAGCCTTTCTTCTTTCCTTACCCCTGGTTGCCCCATTAATGGCTCTGTGTTTTCTTCCTCTAAAAACTTTGCCTTGCTAAACTCAGCCGCTCTAGCAGTTTCAGAACTTCTCTTCCTTCCAGTTTTCAGTTCTAACCACTTTGTATTTGCCTAGCACCTTTAATTTGCCCTGGGTTATTTGCTTTCCTGTTAATGTTGTTTGCCTGTTGGCCTACAGAAGAATTCTGGAGTGCAAATTTGTAGATTTGGTGTAGTGGTTTTGCCTTCTCTGGAACTTTATGCGATTTAGTTACACAAAGGGGGAGGAAAACTATTTTCAGAGATTATATTTCTCATGCTCTTCTACTTCACAGATGAAAAGTAGGGCCCCAGAAAGAGGAAGTCGCTTGTCCAGTGTGGGAGGTAGTCAGAGGACCCAAGTTTTACAAGTATTTCCAGTGTGTCTGTCTGGGGGCCAAAAATTATAACGTAGCACTATTCTCAGGCTCCTCCTTGCTCAGTTTAACTAGTACCCTTTCATGGAAGAGCTTTCCCAGGGCCTTCTATGTGTCTAGCTCTGTGGACAGAGTGAGGGATGACACAGCCGTAAGTGTGGCTACTTCTTTAGGCAGGTGCAATGTTGACCTTCATTATGTGGGCCATAAATATTTGCATGTTTGCCCTCTCAGATTGTAAGTGGTTAGAGAGGATCAAGTCCAACTCATTTACTGAAACTCATTTATTTAGATCTTCCTTAAAGGTACTCCTAAAGGGTATTTGAATGCTAAATGTTATCTTAGATTTTAAAACTACATGCCAGTTTTGATATGGCCAAAGCAATTGCTCTTAAGAATTTACAGGTGAAAAGCTCTTTCATATGCTACTAAAGAACTAGAGACAGGAAAGAGCCAACACCTTACTTACAAGGCTTATAGACCACATGGAGAATTAAATCTGACTTACATTCAAACTAACATACTATATTACCAAAAGCCAAGATCCAAACAGAGGATGGAAGTTTAAAGTCACCGTAGGCAGAAAAGTCCACGAGAGTCCATCTCCAAGTTAACCAGCAAAAAGCTGGGCCTTAAGTATAATTCAAGTAATAGATTGCTCACCAAGCAAATGCAAAGCCCTAAATTTAAACCCTGATACTAGCAAATAGTAATCATAGCAACATTAAATAATAAATGTTGCCTTCTTGAATCTCTAGGGAAACATGTTTTTGAGGTAGTCAAATCTATTAAAAGTATCTGTAATGGATTTAGTTCTAAAGTAGCAGATTTAATTGTGAAGATAGTGTAATACAGTCTAACAAATGACAAGTAGAAAGGGATCTTGGAGATCTCATTTAATAAATTCATTTTAATATTTGTAAGAAGATCTAGGGAGGGAAATTACTTGCTGAATATCATATTACCATATTATATCTCTTCTGTTCTTCCTGTTTTAGAAACACCTGAATGAAAATAAATCTCTCCAGAGATCAAACTTTATCACAGTCTTTCTTTCTGTCTTTTTTCATATTGGGGTTTGAACTCAGTACCTCCTAAGCTAAGCTGTCACTCTATCACTTGAGCCATTCTACCAGCTGCCACTGTATATATTTCTATTGGAGAACGTTTCCTTTTTCATTAGACCAATAGGTTCTAAATCCTGTTGTTTGCAATCTTAGTACCCCATGTAATTCCTATCATATTTTCAGTGCTCAATATTTGTTGAAGGAATGAATATATAATAATTATAAATTGATGAGAACTTCATGAATAACAGTGAAAAACACTCTTCTGGATTACATATCAAAATTAATATCCTAGAAACAGAGGAAGATCTTAATGTGTTAGTGTTGTATGGTTATGTTTTTAGTTTGTGCCAGTACTAAGGCTTGAACTCCAGGCCTTGTGCTATCACTTAGCTTTTTGGTCAAGATGGCACTCAACCATTTGAACTGGTCTCCTTCCTTCCAGTTTGTTGATGGTTAATTGAAGATCAGCCTCTCTGAGATTTGTCTGTCTGGTCTAGTCTAGAATTGTGATCCTCTGAGTGGGGGTCTAGGCATGAGCCACCAGCCCATAGCTCTACAAAGCTTTTTGCATCATGCATACTTCTGGCGATGGTAGTAAAAATAACTATAATCATTCTGTGTTTTGAGCATTTTTACACTTTAGGAAGGTAATAAGCATATGTGTTCCCATTTAATTATCCCACAATTCAATGCCAAAAGTATTGCCTAATTTCCATTTTGTCTCTAATAAAACTTAGGCTCATACACTTTACTAGGAACAAATAATAAATGAATGCCTATAGAAGAAAACTGAAGAGAGAACAGGAACAGAAAAAGAATGCCTCAAATCATGGAGTCTGGCACCTGTTATGGACAAGGTAAATCTTTTGAGAACCCTCCATACTGCTTTCCAGAGCTGTCAAACCAGTTTACATTCCCACCAACAATGTAATTAGCGTTCCCTTTTGGCCACATCCCCACCAGTATCTGTTATTTGTTTTTTTGATAATGACCATTCTAACTGGCATGAAATAGAATCTCAATGTGGTTTTGATTTGCACTTCTTTTATGGCCAGCAATATTGAACATTTCTTCATGTGTCTATTGGCCATTCTTAGTTCCTCTCCAGAGAAGTCTCTTTTTAATTCTTTTTTTTTTATTTAATTTTATTTTATTTGTGAACATACTGTACAGAGGGGTTACAATTACATGGGCAGGATAATGCGTACATTTCTTACCAAGCATTGCAGCCTCCTCCTTTGGTTTACCCTTCACATCCCTTCCCAGCCTCCCCCCTCCCCCCCCCCCAATCCCAATTCTTCTCCTTTCCTCCTTCCCCCCTCCCCCCCCCCCACGTTGTAAAGCTTGTTTTGGACATGACAACTTGTACTTCTCATTGCTCTTTTTAATTCTTTAGCCCACTTATTAATGGGGTGGTTGTTTCTTTGAGGATTTGTTATTGGAGGAGGTAGTTTTTTGAGATCTAGGTATATTTTTGATAGGAGGCCCTTGTCTGTTGTATGGCTAATGAAAATCTTTTCTCAATCTGGAGACTTTCTATTCATCTTGCTAGCTATGTCTTTTGCCATGAAGAAGCTCTGTAGCTTAATGTGATCCCATTTATCCAACCTTTATGTGATTTGTTGCATTTCTGGGTTTTTATTTAGGAAGTTCTATGACAAAACAGGATTCATTCCAGGGATCCAAAGCTGGCTCAATACACACAAGTCAATTAATGTAATTCAACAATAGGAGCAAGAACCACATGATCATCTCCATAGCTGCAGAAAAAGCATTGGCCAAGATCCAACACCCCTTTATGATGAAAGCTTTGGAGAAACTAGGAATCCATGGAACATTCCCCAATATAATAGAGGCTGTATATGACAAACCTACAGCCAGCATTATATTTAATGGTGAAAAGTCAAAACCATTTCTTCTAAAATCAGGAATGAGACAAGGATGTCCACTCTGTCCACTTCCCTTCAATATTGTACTGGGATTCCTAGCCAGAGTAATAAGGCAAGAGACAAACATAAAAGGGACCCAAATAGTTTAAAGAAGAAGTAAAACTCTCCCTCTTTGCAGATGATATGATCCTGTATTTAAAGAACCCCATAGACTCATCTTCCAAGTTACTTGAGCTGATCCCAAACTTTGACAAAGTAACAGGGTATAAACCCACAAAAATCCATAACTTTTCTGTATGCCAATGATAAGAAGAGTGAGGTCAAAATTTAAAAAGCAGCTCCTTTTGTAATAACCTCTAAAAAAAAATAAAATACCTGGCAATAAACTTAACCAAAGAGGTCAAGGACCTCTATGATCAAAACTTTAAAAACTTAAGAAAGGAAATCAAAGCAGATTTAAGGAAGTGGAAAAACCTCCCATGCTCCTGGATTGGGAAAATTAACATCGTGAAAATGGCAATACTGCCCAAAGCTATCTACAAATTCAATGCAATACCTATCAATATCCCAACAACATTCTTTTTTTTTTTGCCAGTTCTGGGGCTTGAATTCAGGATCTGGGCACTGCCCATGAGCTTCTTTTGCACAAGGCTAGCACTCTACCACTTGAGCCATAGTGCCACTTCTGGCCTTTTCTGTTTATGTGGTGCTAAGGAATTGAATCCAGAGTTTCATGCATGGTAAATGAGCACTCTACCACTGATCTACCTTCCCACCCCCCCCCCCCCAACTACATTCTTTAATGAAATAGAAGAAGCAATCCAAAAATTCATATGGAGCAATAGAAGACCCTGAATAACAAAAACAATCCTTAGCAGGAAGAACAGTGCTGGAGGAATATCAATACAAAACTTCAAACTCTATTATAAAGCTGTAGTTATAAAAATCAGCTTGGTACTGGCACAGGAACAGGTCTGAGGACCAATGGAATAGAATTGAAGACCCAGATATAATCCCACAGACCCATGGCCAGCTAATTTTTGATAAGGGAGCTAGAATTGTCACATGGAAGAAAGGCAGCCTTTTCAACAAATGATGCTGGTGCAACTGGCTATACACATGTAGAAAATTGAAGTTAGATCCTTATATATCACCCTGCACCAGAATCAATTCCAAATGGATCAAAGACTTCAAGGTAAGAGCAGAGACCCTGAAAATA